ATAGTTACACTTGTATTAGGGCTGATCATTGAAGGATAATATGCCCTAAATGGGAGATTACCAGGAACCACACGTAACCTTCTCTGAGCTCTTAGGTGGAAGAGCAGAGAGAGGAAAAAAATAAGGAAATATGTATAGATGGGTATTTATTTGTTAGCATACATGCAAATTGTGCTACTACCAAAACAAAGTGTTGAGAGGAGTAGTCCTGACCATTCAAATCAATGATATTTGCTTCCAAATTCCAATAAAATGTGGTTAGGATCGAGCTGTGATCCCCTGAGTGCTGGAAGCAGCAAAGCCAATCAATTGGATCTCATTGAATATTTATTTTAGCTCTTGCCTTTACATAGTAATAATCAACATAAGAAGTTTTCATAAATGCTTTACTGTGACTGTGATGGCCGTAAATCATGATAATAGATTCTTACATAGTAATATTCGTTGGGAAGGGGCAGAGGAGTACTACTACCACTACCACTATGACTTGATTTTTCTTACGTTATTATGTAAAGCTTCATGTACACAGACATGCACAGCTTGCAATTCATCCAGCCAATTCAGGCTTGTGGGTTGCCCTTAGATCTCCTGCTTTTTACAGTCTGGGGACGGGGGCTCAAACAAGCAGGGAAGGTTGGCCAGTATTCAAGCAAGCTACGAAACATGGTTGATGAACTACATTTGACTTGGTCAGTTGCAAGTTGTAGAGGCCCAAGTTGGATCTAGAAAAATATAAATAACAATATTGATGATGTCACGTAGCGTGTGGGAGATAGGGGAGGTTAAATATAGATGACTCTACTCTTGACCTCTCCATCTATCCTAACATATGTAATGTTCATTTAATTCTCATTCCCTTGGATTATATCTGGGGGATTTTAAAATCTTGGCTTGCTTCCAAAGACTCCTGGCTACCAGCATGTCATCTACTGCATTTCTGAAGCAGATGATTACCAGCAGGCAGTGCAGTGAAATTTCAATGTTATCTAATGGACAATGCAATGTCATTAGAAGTGCTGACTGTTTTCCAGTATTTGTAATGCTTCAGTCACAGTTAATACGGAGAGAGCTAACAGCAACTGCAAAATGTTACAAAGAATATCTGTTGGAGACATCAGCTTCTTTCACAAATTGGGCCTGAAACATGTTAAATCACAATTTTTAGAGCTGAAATGGCAAAATTACCCCACTCTGGTGATTACTGAAAATATAACAGAAAGCAAAATGACATATCGTATTAGAGAGAAGGGGGAGATGTAATACTCATGAGTTTTATACTTGTTCAATGTTTTATTCTTGATATGTTTATGTGATCTATATGTGATCTACACTGCAATTGCTTGATGAAGAAAGGGCTAAAAATTATATTCATATAATATAATATATATTGGATTGTATCATGAGTATGTCATACTGAGAGTACAGCTACTGCAATAGATGGACTTAAATTAGGAATTACTAAAGTTCATTGATTTCAATTTTAGGCTGCAATCCTAACCCTACTTTTGTGGGATTAAGCCCCACTGAATTCAATAGGACTGGCTGTTTTGTAGATACAGTATTAGGGCTGTGCTGTTAAGTCAGATAAACTCTATATTCTCTGTCTGTGTATGTATCTGTCTATCAATAGACAGATAATACATTTAACAGCATTCTTAGGAATGTGTGGGTGTGTGCATCTCAAATCCTAAGAGTACAGTTAAACTCATTAAAGAAGAAATGAAGTTAAAGAAACTGGCCTCTCTCTCTCTCTCTCTCTCTCTCTCTCTCTCTCTCTCTCTTTTTCTTTTTACATTCCCAGTAGAGTTCATTTCTACTTCAACAACTAAGCCAAGGTCACATTTAACTCACTTCAATTTCACCCAGTGCACAAGCTAATGTCAATAGTACAGCTGCCACGCAGAGCTAAAGACTGATGGTTAGACAAAGCCATTTACACAAGGCTGGGTCTTTCATCTTCTCTCAGCTAGTGACATAAGAAAGCACTGAGGTTATTCTCAACTAGAGACTAAAACTGGCATATTAGAAAAAATGTTATTCTCCTTAGCTGTCACACAAAGGATCTGAAGAAATGTAGAAATGTTTTTCCCCCCCTTGGTCATCTAGGGAGATCACAAAGTGACTCTAATAGCCTTCACTCTGAAATTTTCACATGGTTTAAGTGATTGCCAAGTCTGATATTTTCCATTTACACTTCATTGCCATCAGAAAAAGAAAAAAAAATCAATATACCTACCTACTCAAGTGTGTCACAGGATGAGCTTATAAAAGAAGACATCAGTCTTTTTAGGGCATGAAAAATATACTTATTCAAATATATCTTATTTAAAATGACATAAATTGCAGAGGTTAGTCAAGATTCGATTTCCTCTAAAATATAAGGCTTTAAAAGTATTCCCTGACTTGACAAGGAATAAAAATCCTTCATGTTATTGATATATACAAATGCTCTTGTTTTATGCTATTAAGTTAGCCCCTCTATGGTATACACTGTCTAAGTGACTCTTTGCAAATTCCACACGAGAAATGATAACGTAACATATTACCACATATTCAGAATTTGGTGCTTAGCCAAAACATTGAAATAGTGGTTTCCCCCCCATTCCTTATTTTTAATTATATATTTTTTTAAAAACGTTTTTTCTCTCTCATTGGTTCTACTAAAATATCAAAAAGGATGTGACGAAAACCTTATATAACTTAAATGATTTTCATCCTTCTATTTTCCTCCAGTAATTACATTTACAGTGGTACCTCGGGTTAAATACTTAATTTGTTCTGGAGGTCCGTTCTTAACCTGAAACTGTTCTTAACCTGAAGCACCACTTTAGCTAATGGTGCCTCCCGCTGCTGCTGCCGTGCCGCCGGAGCACGATTTCTGTTCTCATCCTGAAGCAAAGTTCTTAACCCGAGGTACTATTTCTGGGTTAGCGGAGTCTGTAACATGAAGCGTATGTAACCCAAGGTACCACTGTATTACCTATGAATTCAGTGCTCAACACAACTGCATAAATCCCTTTGTCTTAGGTGGAGACTGATAGCAATTAGATGACTATCACAATTAACAAGAGATTTATGGCAAAATTAATTGGCTTATTGCTTTTATTCTTTTTGTGCCATTCTTCAGATTTCTATAAACCATTTTGCTTGCCCACTTAATTCTTGCCATGATAGCAGGGCTTGCCCACCCATTAGGCAAGGTGAGGCAATCACCTCAGGCAGCAGGATCTATTGGGCAACAGATCCCAATGTCAGTCTGTTTTCCACCTTTGTTCCTGATGTAGATCTTCCCTCACGTTCCCAGGACCATTTGGGGGTCCATCTCAGGTACCAAAATGTGTTGGGGCAGCCCTGCCATGGAGCAAAATCCAACTGCAGTAGATTGTGCTTACACAAAATGTGTTTGCAGTTTACACAGTTACTTATACTAAACAGAATACTGGTAGCCATCAATGGCAGTCAGTAATCATGATTTATATCAGCGTCATGTTGTGAAGGATACTATCAGTTTTTTATAGCTGGCAAGTAACCAGGCTATCACAAAATTAGTTGAGAATAGTTGAAAACATCGTAACTTAAATTAGTCATAACTCCTATTCCATTGTTCTCAATGGGACTAAGTTGCAACTAAAGATTGCTCATCATGTCCACCATTTTAACCTCTACTCCATTGCAACGTGATGCACCCAACCCAGATAAACTGATCAACAGTCACAGGTGCCACAAGCTTCTTTGGTAGTAAAATAACAAAAGGAAAAGAAAATATTAACAATGTTGTTAAAAGGCAACAAAATAAACAGGTGGGAAAGAGTAATTGGAAAACTGTGGGGAAATGGCATTTGATGTGGACTCTACTTCTGAGATTTCACCAGCCATTGCTCACATATTTGCACTCATATATTTGCTACTGTAAGAACAACAAACTTTTTTGGAATAAAAGATGCAATACTTAGAAAGCTGGATTCTGGTGAATTGTAGAATGTTACCGTAGCATAAGCCTCTATGCATATATTGGACTTAAGAATTTCATGTGAGTAGTCTTGGTTGCGATATACATGTGTGTAAAAGGCATTATACCATACTTGTGCCATCTGGGAGGAATGCGCCCATTTCCCCGTTATACAAACTTGTTCTCTGTCCCTTGTTCTCTGTCCCTATTTCCATCTGAGGAATGTTGTGGGGTATGGACTAGAGGCACCCAAGCTGTCCATCATACACAAAGGATCATGTCAACTGGGCCTGAAAAGACACATCAACACATGTTGTGTTTCCTATATCAGATTCCCAGATACTCATGAATGGTTCCAGAGTACCATAAATGGTGGGGGAAATAGACCTCTTTTCCCAGGTATTTGACTAATTAAACAATCTGGGCCCTTTTAAACTGGGGGTGGGGTACAGTATTGCTTGGTTTGTTGTTATGTATTTTTCTGTTTTTATACTGTAAACTGCCCTGTGATCCAGAGTATATAAATATTACAAGAACAACAACAACCTGGTGAAACTTTTTTTAATCAAAAAGAAAAATCCTCAAAGTAAAGTGATTTAGTTAGTAGATGGATCAAGTAAAGTCAGTTAATCAGTGGAAGCCAATTTTAATCTGTTAAATGGTGATGTTGTGAGTTAGAAGCACACTTGTTCACTGTCGGGGCTATTTTGATGTAATGACATGAAGAGAAAAATATTAAAGATGATCTTCCCTTCCAACAATGAATAGTAAGGGTTTCTTTATTATTAAATCATAAGGCATCTCAAGTTTCCTTCAGCATTAAAAGGCAACTCTTTTGTGTATGATAATATGCAAATAGTAGTAGAGTAGAGTGGCCAAGACACTAAACCACAAATCAGAAAGCTTTTTGTTCAAGCTTTGCTTCTACATGAACTCACAAGATGGTTTTTGGGAAGCTAATCTCTCTCAGCCCTCAGTCCTGCAGTATGAAGCTAATGATGCTGGCCTACCTGTTCCTTGCTACAATAGTATGTTGCAGTAACTGTTGTTACTGCTGGTGATATATATAGATATATATATATATATAGATATATATATATAGATATATATATATATCACCAGCAGTGAAATATATATATTCCTGCATGCCAAGATCCAAGTTTGGAGCAAGTATACTTTGGTGAGACAACCCCAGCAGAGATTTAATGTCACAAAACATGCAGCAAAAGAAAGCGTGGAAATACAGACTGTTAGACCTTTAAAATATGCCCTTCCAAATTAGTTCCAAAATTTACCTCTTCTTCAAGGACAGGAAAAGACCACACATTTGGTAAGTTAAAAAAAAAAAATTGGTTTACTCACAAACTCTTCAAAGGTCAGGTTGATGTGCTTCAGAAAAGTTGCACAAGCAGTAAAACCTATTTACAAAGTAGTGAAAGCTCCAAAATTATTGGTATAGAAACACATGAGTGGCTAATGAAAACCAGGCAGGTGAGCTAGAGCGACCTCTTCACACACTGAGGTTCTCAGGTAGACTGGAGGGGAACAATAGGCTTGCTTACCTATTTCCTCCCAAGATTAAAGGAACATGCCTAGGCTAAGCCTGGGAGGACAGCTTACTCTATGATATTAACCCCTTCATGCATTAATTAAACTTAAGCATGTTGGTTATATGAGGCTGGTTGTCCTACAGTTACTTGGCTGGCATGGAATTTATTTTTTAAAACACTTATATACCACTCTCCACCTCCTCCCCGACCCCAAAACCCAATGGGAGTTCACAATGCTAAGCACACCGTAAAAACAAAGTAGCAGTGCATATTTTGTGTTTAAGGAATACATCATCTGTCAATCCTGACACCAGAGCTTTCTTCAGTGAAAGTGGAGAGCGAACTACTCAATAGTTCCCTACTAGTATTGCAAGTAGCCTGATATTGAGTAGTGCCTCCCCTTTTCTCCTAGAGAAGCTGCTCCATTTATAGATTCTGGGCAGTTAGGGGCTTAGCTTTGGCAGCGGCAGCAGATCTTATGCTGAATGATACCTCCTTCTTTGTCCTCTTGCTTTCCAAAAGTATGATATCTTAATTATGATTTTAGAAGCCTATCTGGACCAGTTGGAGAGGAAAATGTGTGGTGGGGGGGTAGTTAGTCTTCATGCTCACCCTATCCACATGTTCATGGTGACACACTAACCATACAATGCCTAAGCCATCCCCCACAGTTACAAGTATTTCAAGGTCAATTTATCAATTTAACAGCTTCATCTTCTTAATCACTAAACTTCTGTCTCTTTGAGCCTGTGCTGAAAGACTCTGGCTGCTAATTAAAATGGAGCTTTACTAGCAAGTACACAAATTAGATCCTGTCAGTAAGTTTATTCTAACTATTGGTCATTTCTAAATGCCTTTTTAATCCCCTAATTTTTACATTAAAATTCAAAAGCCTAACAATCTTAATCACCCCTACATCAAATTCATCATTAAGAACAGGAAGCCAGATGGTATAATTTTGATTTACCGGACTTCAGCGTGAATTAATGTACTGAGTGCCGATAATGAATACATCAAACCTGATATTGCAGAAACCTATGAATCTGGCATGTTAAATTAATAACACACTTTGCACAATGAAAGCATGTAAGCTCATATAAAACTGAGGAGTAATGGTCCCTTTTATTTTAAATGGTCTTTATTAGCCATCCATTTTTAACTCTTAACAAAAAAAGAAAAAGAAAAAGAAGAACATTTGTTTAGTTATCTTCTATCCATTTTGCTTTGAGTACAACTTTGAACTGAATGAAGACCGCAAACAAGGAAAGATGAACTTTCAATCTATTGGTGTTTAATGATGGAATGCATGAAGGTCTGGATTGTAAATGAGCAATTTTCCTGCATAAGATGTCATATGACATCAGAGGTGTCAAACTGATTTCTTGGAAGCCTTGAGAGGTTCCTTGGAAGCTTAACAAGGGTTCCTCAATGAGATCAGTAATGGAAAAGAGCTTTCTGTGTAAGACATCTTGACTACCACTATCAATCTTCCATTGATCTGCTGGAGATGTGTACAGGGATGTAGTTTCACTTCGTGCAGGGCATCAGTGAAAAATCCAGTGGTGTGGGTGAATTACTTTTTCATCTTAAAATTTCCTGCAACACACAGTTCCTTAGCAGTAGAGATGGAGAAGAAATCCACGTGATCTACATGTTAAAGAGCATTTATCAATTGAATTACATACTTCTCCGAATTTTGCAATGCAGATTTGACTCAAAACATTTTATTTTACTTATTAAAAAATTTATATATAGTGCTTGGTTGTAAAAGCAGCGGCCCTCAAAGTAGTTCACAAAAACCTGAAGACAGGAAAAATAACAGTTTGGTAGTGGTTTTAAGTCAGAAAAAGTGTATAGGAGAATTTATAGACTTCACACCTCTCTAGCCTATTTCATTTCATTTCATTTTCATTTCACTTTTAATTTGTATACCACCTTTCTCTATTGCTATACACAAGGCAGTTTACAAGCTGAAGAAGCAACAAAATAGACGGCAAAGATCACATACCTAATAACAATCTGATCCAATACAAAAAAGTCATAATAGAAACATAACTTTAAAATAAACAACTTCTATCAAATAAAGCACTATTCAATAATCCATTAGAATGTAACAGTAAACAGTAAAATTAAATATCAGCAAATAATAATTAAACAGTTTACACTAAAGTTTGCAATAAAGAAGTACTCAGCTATCATCAATAAAAATAACAGGAAGTCACAGTGCATAAATACCACAAAACACACAAAACCATGTAAAAGGATCAAATTGGGAAACAAGGACATTATATATATATATCACTGAGCTCCTCTTCTCTCTTCGCAGCTGCTTCTGCAGTTATCAAAGTCATGGTCTGGGAAAGGCTCCTAGGGCTGAAATGTGGGGCAAGGCAGGTGAGAAAAGGCATGGCCTGATGGCCAGCACCAAGTTTCTCCCAGCTCACAGTTCTTCCTCTGAAAACAGATCTCTTATGAAGAGTATTTGAAAACAACCCAAAGGCACAGGATATCCCAACATTACATCTGTTGCACTGAGGGTCAAGGGATGGTACTTGTATAGTTTCGTTCATAGGCTTTTCAATCACCTGAGCCACTGCTATACATTTCAAGCCCACTGTACCTGGAGCAACTGCAGGCTTTTCAGTAAGTGGTGAAAGGTGGGGGCATGACTAAAGCCGAGCTCACAGATATCTCCCGTGGCGGTAAAATTCATTTTGCTTGCATGTTACATTGAATACATGGCAGACTGATGCACCTTGCCAGTTCTTCCTGGAACATGCAAACCAGTTCTTGGATAATCAGAGACATCAGAGGTTGTTTCAGACACATAATTCATTGGAAGGGTCCCCACAACCCCACGCAACAATATTTGTCGACATGGCAGAGAGCCCCATGGAGGTTTCGACACAGAACTTCACTCACTGCCTTGGTCACTCTCTCTCAGCAAGCAAAAAAGATACCTCAGTTGAGAAACTCGTTCCTCCTTTCATGGATATTATTTGATGCAGTCAGCTGCTCAGAGGTGACAACAGAATTGATGGAAGAGGCCCTGATTAACCAGGGGCACATTTCCCCCTTTAAAGTAAGAGTGGCATTATCCACTTGATCATCAAAGATATATAGGGAGTTGTTATCTCAGGATCACATAAACAAGCTCTAAGCCAGAGTCCTTTCCCAATGCCACTCTAGGAACTTGAGGAGAATAAGTTGGTCCCAGTTGCAAATATTTTTACTCTGAAATCTCTAGATGTAGCTCATTTGACAAACCTATTATAAAATGAATAAATGTCGCTCTGTGTGATTTGTCCATTGTCAACATGTTAACACACTTTATTTGAAGGTAGATTGATGAAGGGTGCTTGAAGGAGTTTACCCTCCTGATTTAAAGAATAGAAAATCATTTTTTTTTCCAGCACATTTTTTCTTTTTTCTTTTTTCCCCCTTTAGAAGTTCACAAGAGTAGATATACAATTATACCCGACTTGCTGATGCAAAGGAACTAAGCATTTAGTTTCTTGTCACTGTCTCTGAAATTCCTAAAGGTACAATTAGCATTTCATTTGACATAATGTTGAAAGGTTCATAGATTGATCTTCCCTAAAATGCAGCAAGAATTTTTTGAAATGCAAATTTTGACATTTATTAACTTTTATTCCAGATCTGTTTATAGACTGTAAAACTGTGCATACATTTAACTCGAAGAAGCTAAAAGGACAATGTTTAGGTGGATACTCTGTGTTATAATAAAAGTCTATTTTATTGTTTCAACAATGAAATTTTTATTATCCGAGATTTATGATATCAGCACAGCAGTTTTTTACTGCATGATTCACAGTGTTTTTATAGATGTATATTCAACAAAACAAGGAAAGAAATTGGACTGCAGTGTTCACTCTCAGGAGTGCTTTTCCCCATTGAAATAATGTCAGCAGTTTTCCACCTTCAAAGCCCTGTGTTTTCAAATCAATTAACAATTCTAATTGTGCAGGAACAGTTGTTCACTTCGCTCTGCGAATGGGACAGGAAGCTTTATTTCCTTTCTTCGCCTGAAACGAAGACTCTAATCTTCTGAACCACATTTAACATTAAAAAGTGCATACCTTTAAAAGGTTAGACAGCTTTTCAACACTGTCAGTCATAAATATTATTCCCTCTATGTGGTCCACGTTCATTTTCTTTTCTAGTTTTCTTTATTTCGGAAGCCTTTTCAGAAAGGTGGAGCAAGAGTAATCCTCTGTGTCAGCAAAGTCCCCTTAGGAGTCAATTGGATTTTTAAAAGAATCCTATTTTTATCTTGCAGGACAGCTATAAAAAGGGCAGCTTTTGTAAAATAGTAAAGCCAACGCTAGCTTTGACTCAACTAGCAAATTGTTCTGCCACCATGCAAGACAGACCTAGGAATGCAGGCAGTGAGGTGCAGTGGATGGTTTGCAGAGCAGGATTCTCAAACATGGCGGCTTTCATATGTTACTGGATTACAAGCCACACCCGCCTTGCCACGCTGGCTGACTTATGGGACTTGGGAGTCCAACAACAACTGGAGGAAACTGCTATAGAGTATTAGATTTGGATTGGAG